AAAACTACAGGCCAATCTCCCTAATGAACACTGATGCAAAAATCCTCAATAAAATTTTAGCTATCAGAATCCAACAAAGTATCCAAAAGATAATTCACCACGACCAAGTAGGATTCATTCCAGGGACACAAGGATGGTTTAACATCCGAAAATCAATCAACATTATCCAACACATCAACAAAAAGAAATATAAAAACCATATGATAATATCAATAGATGCTGAGAAAGCTTTCGACAAAGTGCAACACCCATTCATGATAAAAGCCCTTGAAATTCTTGGGATACAAGGAACATACCTCAACATCATAAAGGCCATCTATGACAAGCCAACAGCCAGTATCATTCTCAATGGTGAAAAGCTGAAAGCAATTCCATTAAGATCTGGAACAAGACAAGGATGTCCACTCTCACCACTGCTTTTCAATATAATACTGGAAGTCCTAGCCAGAGCAATAAGACAAGAGAAAGACATCCAAGGAATCCAAATAGGAAAAGAAGAAGTCAAACTATCACTATTTGCAGATGATATGATAATATACATAGAGAACCCCAAAAAGTCCACAGAAAAACTAATTCAACTCATCAATCAGTTCAGTAAAGTGGCAGGATACAAAATCAACACGCAAAAGTCAGTAGCCTTCCTATACACAAACAATAAATCTGAAGAAAAAGAAATCAAAAAAACCATCCCTTTTTTTATTGAAACAAAAAAAAAATCAAATATTTGGGAATAAATCTAACAAAAGAGGTAAAGGACCTATACAAAGAAAACTATAAAACACTGTTAAAAGAAATAGAAGAAGACACAAAGAAATGGAAAGACATCCCCTGCTCATGGATTGGAAGAAAAACATTATTAAAATGGCCATCCTTCCAAAAGCAATATACAGATTCAATGCTATTCCAATCAAAATTTCAATGTCATTCTTCAAAGAAATAGAACAATTATTGATGAAATTCATATGGAATCACAAAAAACCCCGAATAGCCAAAGCTCTCCTGAAAAAAAAAGAAGGGAATGGAGGCATCACACTCCCAGACTTCAAACTCTACTACAAAGCCATAATCATCAAAACTGCATGGTATTGGAACAAGAACAGACATACAGACCAATGGAATCGAATAGAAAATCCAGAAATAAACCCACAGATTTATGGTCAACTAATCTTTGACAAAGGAGGAAAGACTATGCATTGGAGCAAAGAAAGTTTGTTCAATAAATGGTGCTGGGAAAACTGGGTCGCTACATGCAAAAGAATGAAGCTTGACCACTACCTCACACCATATACAAAAATCAACTCAAAATGGATTAAAGAACTAGACATAAGACCTGAAACCATAAAATATATAGAAGGAAATATAGGCGAAACACTACGTGATCTGCACATCAAAGACATCTTTACAGACACATCACCCAAAGCAGTGATAGTGAAGGCAAAGATAAACAGCTGGGACTACATCAAATTAAAGAGCTTCTGCACAGCAAAAGAGACAATAACAAAAACAAAGAGAACCCCACCAACTGGGAGAACATTTTTGCACCCAACACTAATGATAAAGGACTGATCACAAAAATCTGCAAAGAGCTGATGAGACTCAACAACAACAAAGAAAATAATCCAGTCAAAAAATGGGCAGAAGAGCTAAAAAGAAACTTCTCTGAAGAGGAAATGAAAATGGCCAACAGGCATATGAAAAAATGTTCAACATCACTTGTCATCAGGGAAATGCAAATCAAAACTACCATGAGATACCATCTTACACCAGTGAGAATGGCACATATTAAAAAAACTAGCAACAACAAATGTTGGCGAGGGTGTGGAGAAAAAGGAACTCTTCTGCACTGTTGGTGGGAGTGCAAACTGGTCCAACCACTGTGGAAAGCTGTGTGGAGATTTCTGGACCTACTAAACATAGAGCTTCCATAGGATCCAGCAATTCCACTCCTAGGAATTTACCCAAAGGACACAGAAACATCAATTCCAAAGAACACCTGCACCCCTATGTTTATAGCAGCACTGTTTACAATAGCTAAGCTTTGGAAACAGCCCAAATGCCCAAAAATAGATGACTGGATCAAGAAGATGTGGTACATATATACCATGGAATATTACTCAGCATTCAAAAAAGATAAACACATGCAATTTGCAGCAACATGGATGGCACTGGAAGGGATCATGCTCAGCGAAATAAGCCAAAAAGAAAAAGAAAAATACCGGATGGTCTCACTCATAGCAGGAATCTAGAAAACTTAAATAAGGGACCAGGAAAACGAATAACTATAAGAAAGTGAAAATCAAAATCAACAAAAAACTACGAACCAGAGACACTTTTAAGGGGGCGGGGGTGGGAGGGGAGAGATTGGGGTCAGAATGGGGGGGCTGCAATTGTATGGGGAATATAAAAATAAAATTTATTATTGAAAAAAAAAAGTTATAATTTAAGCTGTATGGAAATTAATGAAGAAAATGCAGGCATGGAAAAAGAGGATGATGTCCTGTAAGGAAAGGAGCCTATGGATTTCACAAAACAGGAACATCTAGGAGGAAATGCTAGTATAAAGACCTACTGGGGAGTACCAAATTTCACATATGACTTCCATTATCAACTTCTCTGACTCCATATCCATTCAACCTTGAGAAAGAGGTATACCAATGTTTTTTAAGTTGTTAATTAAAATGAACCTTGTTGTTGCAAGTTCTGTTTCACTGTAAATTTGACAAAGAGATAAGCTATGACTGTATCTGTGATATGTAAGTATTTGTTTTATAATTTTCATAGTCCTCTTTATGTACTTACTATAAGTGTGTCCTTAAAAAAATGACTTCATGAATATTATAAACTATATCATAATACCTGCATTATAATATAATATGATCTTCCTAATAGCTATTAAGCTATCTCATCTTCCTTAATAAATATCCTTGCTTTAAACAGTGTCATCTTGAACTAATATGATTCAGATGAAGAAATACTATAGCTGTTCCACCTCTCCATCTATAAATGGAGAATAGAAGTCTATGAAACCTTACTGAGATTCTACCAATTCTACAATACATGGGCAAATTTACAATACATGGGCAAATTTCTACATTGTGGCTTTTGTTTTTCATGTGTAAAACTAAGTTTTTCAAATATACATTTTTTGCTACTGAAATTTCCCTGTATGTTGACTTTAATAGTAATGTAAAAACTCCTCTTTCCTAGCCAATCTATAAGTGGTGGGACATGACAAGAAAAAAGAATGCCCTGGCAAAGTACCTTATGACTTTCACTCATAAAATATATTTATGATGAAAAAAGGTGATAAAATAGGTAAGTACAAACTCTTCCCAGTTACTGATGTTATTCCATCCACACATCTGCAAAAACCTCAGCTCTCAACTATCTGCCCTCAGGAAGAAATCAGTAAGGCAAATTTTTCATTTTCCTAATTTCAAGGTGACTGAGGCCCTAGAGTCTCTTATAACTGCTGTTCATGGACATTTAGGATTTATACTCTTGGAGATATATACAATTCATACACTTTAACACTCAAATCAACCTTGAATGCCCTTCTATCCTTCTCAAGTAATAATGACACGATGATCAATTTTGTACATTTTCTCACTGGCATCTTACATGGGCTGTGAAAGTTTAATAGGGTTCTATTTCTGAAAATTATGCTATGTTGCTTTAGCTCTTCTGATACCCAAGGATTTGGAAAGGAGAACCTTTCATTCTGTTGCTTAGGGAGATATTTACAGTGAAAAGTAATCTGAGTTCCTTGCCTAATCTAAAACGTTTTTTCAACATCTGCTTTGTTACAAACATCATTGCTTATTAGGTGTCCCAGAAACAATGCCTCGTCTTCTTAGATGGTGATTTCAAACTAGCCCATTTGTAAGCAAACATCCTTCACATGAAGACATTGTCTGTCAGCAAGTTTATCTCTTTGATCAAATGATACTGTCTTTACCTCGTGAAACAATGTGGCTTTTCCCAGCAGTGAAACTAATTCCTCCTGCTTGACATTTGTGTCAGCGGCTTTCTTCACTCAGAAAAATTAAACTTATTTGGCTAATAATTTATTAAAATAAATATTTGGCCATTTAAATGGTTAATAAATAAGGTAGGATTGCATACAGAGCATTGATAGTAAAATCAAATGCATGTGACTCTAAAGTATGATCTGCCAACAGTCAGTATCACTTGAGAACTTATTTGACATGTAAATTCTCATCCCTTTCCTAGATCTAGTGAAAATCTGGGGGTGTGAGGGGAGGCAGAAAATTGAGTTTAACAAGCCCTCCAGGTAATTCTGAAGTTAAAATTTGAGAAGCAATAAATATTAAACACACCTGGGACACTGCTTTTTGTTTTTTGTTTTCCAGTGAGAATGTGCAATGAAAGGAGGTGGATTATATCAGACTAATTAAATCAAAATCTCTCAATCTGGGACCTGGGCTTTGTTATGTTTCAAAAGCTCCCTGTTAATTCTAAAGCACATGCCAATTTGAGAGCCACTGCTCTAGAGACATCCTGTCTTAAATGGTGAAAACCTCTCTTGAACTTACATAAAACAATTTACAGGTTTTGCAATCTATTGGTTGTATTTATTTAGGTGCTTATTTTATCTACCTGATTAGCGTGAGGTGAAAGTTCAAGTATTATTCATATTTCATCCCCTGAATTGCTTAGTACATGGAATATGAGAACATATATCAATACCCCCATCACAAAGTAACAACTCATTTGATCCTCACTACAAACCTTTGAAATAAGCAGGTAATTATCACTTTTTTTTAATAGGGCTCACAGAGGGTAACTGGCTTATTTTCTCATAGCTAATTACAGCAAAAGCTGACTCACCAACCCAGATATATTCCCACATTCCAGTGTTTCTTCTGTTCAACTTCCATTTGGGATGTATTTTCCCTACAGCGAGTCTTCCCATCTTCGTTTAAACGATACTATCCTGCCCCATCTCCCCACCACCACCTCTGGGCCAGAACTTTTACCTTTCCAAAGGTGTCTGTTGGCTTCAAAGTTCTTAGTAGTTTTAGAAAGTTCCCGCTCTGTCCTCCCTGCAGAAATGTAAGGCTTCATTAATTTCAAGGTGCTGAAATGCTGAAGCTAGCAGACCACCATCTTCACTAAAGAAGTTCTGAAAAGGGGGGAAGTATGTAATCAGATGAGCATGTCTCTTAGCTCATTGTCCCTTACCAACAAGAAGTCTCGAAATAAAGGAAATCACCAAGTGAATGTGGTAGCACGTACTTTTTTTCTAAATGAATTTGCTATTCTTTCAATGATAGACCTCAGATGGCTCAATGTCTCCATGAAAACGTGGACCCAGTGAAGTTGTAGCCTCAATAGCATATAAATATATCCATATGCTGGCCGTGCACCATCTGTGAGAGGCCTGTAAATAATCCTTCTTTTCCTTCTAAATCCAAATGATTATATTGTACACAAGCCATATTTACAGATGGATCACTGAACACACTCTCATTAGAGATTTCTAAGTGTTATTTCCTTTTTCTAGCATATAAATGTTAAGTAGAATGTCCTCATTCCTGAGAATGTGTGTAGGCTATATAAAAATGTTTTAGGTTTTGATCTTAACTGTATTTTGGGGTGCATCTCCTGCCCTTGGAAAAAATCATCATGTGTCTTGATGATCAGTTATGCTAAGGAAGTTCACTGTTACCGCATATTTCATTTTTACTCCCAGAAGCTACACCATCCCAAAGATTTTGCAAATTTTATTTACTGTACTCCCATAATAAAATTCAAACCTAATAATCTGAATAGGGAATAAAGATAAAGAAATAGGATTATCTAGGATCGTACGCACATCTTTGATTCAGATGAGAAGGTCACATCACTATTCATGAGAGGAGGACCCCATGAACTTGTCTGTGAAGATGCTGTTATGCTGGGCTCTACTATGAAGTCTGCTGATGTCACATCATACCCCCTCCTAGGATCAGGAAGGTGCACGTCTTCTTCCTGTGGCAGCCAAAAGGAAAAAAAGCTGAGCTGGTAAGTAAGCAGAAAAGGACATGGCAGTAAAAATATAAGTCAAGATTTAAACATAAACCAGGAAGTTCTTAATAGAGTCACCTACACATAACATACACTGAGAAAAACTAAATGAAAACACTTCAACTTCATAAAGTTTAAAGGTTACAAATACAAGTTGTAAAATTAATGGCCAAAATTCTGATTGTGAATTCACTAATCTGTCTGTTCCTTGGTAATTTACTTTTCTGTGCCTCAATATCTCCATATTATCCCAGTGGGGATAATAATGGATCTTAAAACACAAGCTCTATTGGTAAGGAATTTAGAAAAATGGCTGCCATGGAGAACACTGAATATTTGCTATAATTACTATTACTCTTTGATGTCTCTTTTCATACTAAGAATTCCAATATAAAACATACAATAGGTGGGCCTCCCCGGTGGCGCAGCGGTTGAGCGCTGGGTTGCAAGGCTGCCAGCAGCTTCTGCAGTGCCGGTTCGATCCCCGGCTACTCCCCGGCCACCTGAGGAGGGTCCCACATGGCGCGCAGACCTCTCCTGCCGGCCCCCCTGCTCCCCTCAGCAGTGTACCTCGGTCCTTCTGCCTGCTCTGCTCCCCGCTCTGCTCTGGTGAATTCTCTTGCCCTCCCACACTTCTGACTGTACCCAGTGCTTGGATAAATAAATAAATAAATCTTAAAAAAAAAGTTTAAAAATATAAATAAAAATTAAATAAATAAATAAATAAATAAATAAATAAATAAATAAGGCGTACAATAGGGCCTCCCTGGTGGCACAAGGGGTTAAGTCTCAGCACTATGAAGTTATAAATAGCCACTGCAACATGAGTTAGATCCCTAGGCAGGGAGCTACCCACATGGCGTGGCAGACCTCTCCTGTCTCACCCACTGCTACCGTCAGCAGTGTATTTCAGTCAATCAACATGTTCTGGTACCCACTCTGTCCCTGGTGAATCCTCTCATACCCCCACAACTCTGGCCTGCACCCCAGCACTTGTATGCATAAAAAAGTAAAATTAAATCTTAAGGTTGCTGTATCTCAGGGCAAAATGGCCTCCTTAAGGAAAAAAATAAAAATAAAACATACAACTAGAGAGGGTAAGTGATTATTTTGACTCTTTCTAGCATTAAGGCATTGTCCCTGGCCATGGTAATTACAGTGTCTTCTTTAACAACCCATAACTCTGGTCTCTCCACTTTTCATGACCACCTTTAATTGTCTATGGCTCTTTGCTTCCTTTAATCTTTTACAAAAACTTTGAAGTTATACCAGTTACAAGTTTAGCTAGGTTACAAAGACTTTTGAGTCTAAAATCTTCTAATTATATAAATACTGTATACTATAGGATCATGCTTTAAAAAGGGGGGGTAGGGTTTTTTTAATATGAAATTATATTTAACTTTTAAAACTATGGAAAATCAAAAGCTGCTCTCGAAAGAGTGCAAGTGAGGATAAGCTCATTTGACTTAACATTTACATATTGTTAAGCAAACACCCAAGCCAAAATAACTAATATGAGGTAGATATGTAAATTACCCATAGGTTCAAGGATGAGATTTAAATACTAAGACTGCACACATGTATGTACCAAGACAAACACCTTCCAAGCTCTACTGTGTGATTTATACCCACCCATATTTTTTCCTTCTGTAAAGTTAATCCACTTAGTAAATATTTTAAAGGAAAAGTTAGTTCAAACCTGATATATTAGTATGACAATTAGTCATAGTCTAATTCTCTTCACCAGTATTTTTTAAAAGTCAAGATTTTAGTTATGTTTTCAGAATTGGGGCTAACTCTCCCATTTCAAAACTACCATTCAAAAAGATACATACACCCCTATGTTTATTGCAGCACTATTTAGAATAGATAAGACTTGGAAACAATCCAAATGCTCAAAAATAGATGACTGGATCAAGAAAATGTGGTACATATATAAAATGGAATACTATTCAGCAAAAAATAAAAAAGATAATCTAACACCACTCACAGCAACAAGGATGGAGCTTGAAGGGATTATGCTCAGTGAAATAAGTCAAAAGGAAAAAGAAAAATATCGGATAGTTTCACTTATCGGAGGTATATAGAGGAACAAAATAAGGGATCAGGGAAAAAAATGACAATCTAAAAAACACATAACAAAACCAAACAAAAATAATCAGACAACTATAAATCAGAGACACTCTGCAGAGGGGGAGGGAGAGGGATCAAAACGAGGGTGGAAAGAGCACAAGGGACTAAGGCAATGGTGCATGGGTGATTTGGTGGTGGAAACTTTACAGGCACTACACCCAGTGTAAAATATATACAAATAAAGAAATTAATTATAAAAAATAAATAAATAATAAAAACTAATATATCATGGTCCTGTGCTTAAGCCTTTCCCAAAATGCTCATATATTCACTGTCAGGTAAACAAAATCAGAGTATTTATTAAGACAACTTTCTGATGTCTTTTTCAGTGCTGCATTGATAAGCTAACTCTGAGACATAGAAGAGGAAAAATCCTACATCTGACTGGATTTGATTTTTAAAATTATCTCAACTATCTCAATAGCATTTGGTTGTTGATAGGACAATTCCTGTATGAGGAATTCCTAATAACAACCCAATACATAAGATACCAAGATACCCTGTTTTAGCATGAGACCTGAGGTTATTCTTATTTCTTTTCATCTTTTACAAGAGCAAAAGACAGTGTTCCTTTTCATAACAATCGGCTGTATAAACACTTCAAATTCCATTCTGAAAAACCAAATAATTTTTTAATTAAATTATGTTTGTTGATGTAACTTCATTTTACAACACTGTGTATATTTTAGAAATATAGGTTCACATGTCTCTACAAATGTATGCTATCACACCAAGCCCAGCACCAGAGCACTAATAATCCTACGCTGGGCCCTCTCCTCTTTTTTTGTTTTCAGAACCCCCTTCCTTTTTCTGGTAACCCCAGTTCAGCAGTCAGGCTTCGAGGGTTTGTTTTGGTTTAGTTTTTTTCTGTTCCTTTGTTTTGTTTCTTTTATTCCACATATCCAGTATTTGTCTTTCTCCTCCAGACTTATTTCACTTAATATAATTTCTTCTAGTTCCATCCATGTTGTCACAAATACCAAGAGTTCATTTTATTATAGCTGATTAGTATTCAACGGTGTATATACCACATTTTCTTAATCCAGTCATCTGTCATTGGACACTCAGGTTGTTTCCATAGCTTGACAATTGTAAATAGTGCTACAATGAACACAGAGGTGTATATTTCTCTTCAAATTAGTGCACAGTCAAATAAATTCTACATGTGGCATATGAAATGGTCAAAATGACGATTTTTCACATTTGCCACTGCAGAAGTGCAGGGCTGTTCAATCTCAACTGCAGATATGTTGGAATAAGTGAATGGTAACAAAACAAAAACCTCCCAAGAAAATGATTACACAAGGTCACTTCTGTCAGCTACATTTTTAAATCAGTTTCATTACCTCTCATAAATTCAAAAGGCAATTTGGGTTAGAGCTTAAGGTTTGAGAGTGCAAACTGCCTTAAAAAAAAAAAAACAACTAGGTGATAGGTTCAATATCTGTTCTGAGAGTCTCTGTTCTCTCAGTATAAAATGATGGTGACACTTATCTCATAGAGACATTGTGAAGATTTTGTTGGATAACTCATGTAAGAAGCCTCGTGTAAGAATCCTCTCACCCTCTACACCTCTGGGCTGTACCCCAGTTCTTGTATGCATAAATAAATAAATCTTTAAAAAAAGATTAAAATGGGGTTTAAGAATTGAATAAATATTGATAAACATCACAGATTTTTAGCTTACAATGACCTATATCCCATGAGGAAGTAAAGACGGGCAGAAAGAAATGAATGAGATTTGAAAACAAGGCTAAGCAAGCCAGTAGTGAATATTTAGCTGTGTTTATGCACACCAAGCATGACGAAAGATTTGAAAGAATCATTTAGATAATTCTTATCAACAGAAAAGGGCCTCCCTTTTTAGATATCTAGATAATTCAGAAAGTGTTTCTATTATATTCAGTTACCAAATAATTGTTTCAATTCCACAGTTCATCTATTGCATATATTGATACAGCCTATTTGTGATCCCACAAAGAGTAAAATGGCTGCTGAGTTGTTCTGTAGTCATGAAAAAAGCAATTTAAAAAGCAATCAAGCCATTTGGCTAAAGGTAGATGAGAAGAGTACCAATCTCAGGCTACAGTACACCTTTATGAGTCTTCCAGGACTTGAACGGTGTTACAGCTTTAGGATCAACCCAAGAACACATCCAAATTTTATGGCCTCTGGTTAAGAAAATGCAGTTTCACACTTTCCTTCTGCCCAGGCACTATACAGGGCTATTTATCAGGTAATAGTGAGGAGAAATCGACAAAATCCTAAGACTTATTTTACTAAAAAAAAATTCTGTTTTATACCAAGGTCCACTCCTATTTATTAGGCTGTACTCTCAGGATATGGGTGAACACAAAATAAACTGGAGAGTTAGGCTGCTATTCACCTAGTTTTGAAATAGGATTCCTACCTAGATCTAAAATGTCTAAATGCTTTTCACTCTGAAATACACAGATATTATCACAATTCTAAACACTAAACTTTACTTCCCTTACATAGATAAACAGACATATTCACTAGGAGATTCATTTTGGGAATATAATCTATTCTGCTACCCATGCTGGTCATTAGGAATAAGACATTGAATGAAAATGTTTCTTAAAGTTATTCATCTGGAAAGATGAATTCAGTACCAGTCAATAAAAGTGAGGAAGCCTCAGGAGTTGGATGGAAGAGGGTTGGGGGCCTTTCCCAGTACCCCAATATCA